AAAAAAAATATATTTATTATATCATTAATATATACATTTAAAATACATATTAGACAAACTTTAAAAAAAAATACTCCAACATCCTAAAAAATATATTTATTATATCATTAATATATACATTTAAAATACATATAAGACAAACTTTTAAAAAATAATACTCCAACATATATATATATATATATGTATATATATAACCCCCACATATATGAGACTGAAACCCAACTCCTAGAGAAACACATGTATGAGAGTCCTCGCATACATATCTAAGTTTCATTTACCGTTTATGTCAAATTTAAATTTTAAGATATGATGTTTTTGTCTTCAAAATCATAAATTCATGTTTTGATTTAATTCTAAATCCCAAATTACATGTTGGAAAGATTTATTAGACTTTTAAAATTTTCAAATTTTATTGGTTTGCTTAGAAAATCAGAGAGAATTTGAAGATTAATAGAAAACTCGTATAACTTTCTTTTGTAAATTTTGATTGATTCATTTGCCATCTAACCCTAATTGAGGAGAAAACCTACAATTTTGTTCAATTATTTCTATTTTTAGTTTCTTAGCAACCAACCATTGCCTGATGATGGAGATGGGGCGAAGTTAGAGAAAGGAGAGAGAAACTATTGGAGAAATAAAAGGGAAAACTAGTGTTTTGAAAACTAACCCGGGGGTTAAATCATTTTAGCTTCTGAGTTTTGGTTTTTACGGTTTAATTGAAAATCAATGTTTTAAAAACCAACTCGAAAGTCAAATCATTTTGATTTTTGGGTTTTGATTTGATCGGTTTAACTGGTTAAATCGCAAAAACCACTAATTCAATCAAATATTAATAAATATAATGTTATGCAGCATTTAACAATAACTTTGCAATGGTTCCACAGGTTTGTTTTCTTGTCCCTCACAATGAGGGTGGAGGTTTGAACCCAGGTGATCTCAAACTTTAATTAACATGTCTCTAACCTACCACCCATAATATTTTAATAGATTTTTATTTTCTATAATTAATTTATCTAAAGAAATTATAAAAATTGATTTTAAATTAATTAATTAACTAATTAAAATCATCTACATAAATGTCACTTCTTATATTTTTTTTATCTAAATTAATTATAGATAAATGTAAAAAATTTATATTATTATATTTTTT